CTATATATATATATAGGTAATTTTTGGCCCTGTTTGTTGAACTTATTTAATGGCACTTGGGAAAGTATTTTAACTTATTTTTATTAGAGACAGTTATAACCTAATTAAAAATTTCCCAGTATTTTCTACAGAGGCTCTTCCATGTAGTCATGTCTAACCACACACTATAAGAGTGTGCAACTTCAGCTGTTGTTTACTCAGGTTTGCTTGTGTATTATGTGTACTTGTGATTTTATTTTGACAGAAAGTATATTATATTTTTTTCTACACTTTCCAGGGTGGAGAAGGAGCAGAAGTTGAACCACTCCAAGAACGGCTAGCAGAGTTAGAGGAAGAGAAAGGTACGCTGCAATTGAGACTTATGGATCTTGAGGAGCAGATAGATTTACAAGGTGATTCCCTTGTAGTGTTTGTCTGCATGCTCAATGTTCTGCATGTTTTGTACTTTCTGGTAATTCCTTATCATATTCAGGATTTGCATGTGTTCAGAGTACAATAATATGGAATAGTTTTTAAATAAAAGTACTTTAAAATACTTGCTCCCCATCAGTTACATTTAGGATTCTTTTTATAAAGTTTTTAAGATTTCATTCAGGATTTTTTCTGTTTAGGTAATTGTAGTATCTAGAACGTGATACTTTTCAAATTATTGCTGTGTTATTATTGAAACTCCAGGAATAATAAAGTAATCAAGTTAACTGATAAACCACACATTCTAAACAAAAACATATTGCGAGAGTTTAAGAGAACATTGCTCCTTTAATAAAGATTCCTTATTGTAATTATTTTTTTACCTATAGATGCTGAGTAATATTGCATGTATGTGTTTTTATTTTTTTGAAACATAGAAAAGGGAACCATCTTAGTATATTTATCCCTAGCAGAACAACTGTATTGAAATCTTCAGTAACTTGAATGTAATATGCAAATCTTGAATAGTGTTAACAAGCTTTATCCATGTGTAGTGATTTAAAAAAAATCAAATTATTAGTACAGATATTCATCAAGTCAGCTTAGGTTATAGTTACAGGATTTTATAATAAAGGTGAGAAGTGTATGTGATAAAGCAGTGAAGAATGTGGAATTCTGAAATATATAGAATGAAAGACATTAGTTTGAAACAGCAGTGAAAAGAGATAGAAAGAGGTTTGAAAATACATTAATGGGTTCCTGTAGTTTACTTACTTCACTGTCTTGGAGTTTAGTTGGATCATTTGAATAGAAACATCTGTAATTTTTCTAATCTTTTAGTTGTACACTTCACAAGATGCAGTGACAGTCTGATAAGGTTCACAGAAATAATAAAAATGTCCAGAATTATAGCAGAAACATTTGTTTTCATCATTGACTGATTTCACTTTTATGCTCATTTATCCTTGCCTGACATATTTGCTTTCTTTTCAGTTGATCCATTGCTTTTCCTATGTACTTTTATATTAATTAGTAGCTCTATATGTTTATGTAAAATCACGTTTCTTAATTTACTGTCTTAGTGACATTTTGTTTTTATTATAAAATCTTGTCACAAATAACCTATGGTGATCTGATAAACAATTATTTGATATTTCAAACAGTTTTCACCAAACTTACTTAGATGGATGAAATTCATGAAAAATTCCAATTAAAATTACCACTAACAATGAATCTCTGGATCATCTGGACAGATTATGTAACCTTTGGTTACAAATTAGGGTCCACACATGATGCAGAAATCAAAAAAGATTCTAATAAAATATAGGTTTCTATAGATCTTGATCTACAGAGTCTTTCTCTGTGGCTATAGTACTTTTATGTCTCCCCATAGTTGACCACTCCCATTGCTCCTGTCATGGTCATCTGGCCAGTAACAGTCTTCTCTATAACCACTCAATCCAAGCTTTAGCTTTTTGGCTTACAGTGAGTTTACAATGAAAAAGAGAATCTTTCTGTACCACACATTTTTCTGCAGCCCCCTATCTATTCTCCTTTTTTGATAAGCTGCAGGGTTCTGTATTGGCAACAGTTTCATTGTTCTTCACTGAATTTTAAAGCTCATTCCCTCCCCTACTTCTACATTCTACAGCCCCATGCTTTCATCATCATCCTTACCAGTTTCATTGTTATGTACTCAGTTCTAAGCCCTTATCTTCAACATTTTTTGCCCTGTGTTCTTCTTCTTTTCCTTTGATAATCTTCAGTGTTCTTCATCATCACTGGCACTACTTTCAGTGTTTTGCAGCTCATCTGTTTTTGTTATCTTTATCATCTTCATCATTCTTAAGCTCATTTCTTTCTCCATAAATAGTTTTTGTTCAAGCAAAATTGGTTAAGCTTTGTCACTTTGCAGTAAGTTTCTTCTGACACATTCCTTTGTAAGGGTTTCTCCACTATAGAGATTATATATAGTATCAAAGTGCAGTCATCTTTATATAATACACAAAGAAGTTTCAATGAAATTATTATCTTAGTATGTTAGATTTGAAGGGGTACCTCATTCAGAGGAAGCTAGTTAGCTAGAATAGTCTGAACTTGGCAACAAATGCATAATTAAGTGCCTTTCCAGAGCATGTATTTCTTGAAAGCCACAAAAGAATCTTCTACAGTGGGACCACAAACAGATGTAGGATACTGTTATGAAGCATAAACATACAGGCACTGAAGGAGGTCAACTATCACTTCCTTCCAAGTCTGAGGATCTGAGAGAACTCTGTAGACAGAGTCTCTACAATAATCCAAGCTGAAGACCTTCAGGAGCTTAATAACATTTTATGCCCTTCTTTCATTGCTGTCATCCTTCTCCTTCCAACCACTCTGTTTATGACTATATATGTCTTCAAACAGTTCCGTGAACCCACTTAGGTAGACATGCTTTTCTTCAGCCACTTGCCATTTTTATTAGCACAAATGCAAATTTTTCTCTGGCCTCTTTTATGACTTGTTTTCTCTGCAAGTGGTATCTTGTCATGATTGCATCCACATCTGCTGCAATGGTATTATGTGAAGTATTTTGCTACCTTACACTTTGCAAATAAGCTTTGAACTGATGCCTCTGACACCTGTCTTCTGAGACATATACAATCTTGACCCCATAGCTTAACCCTTAATTCACCACACCTCATATTTTTAGTGTAACTCACTCATGATCCTTAGATGAATTAGGAGTCAAACTGGATGTACATTCATATGAATAAAATGATGCAATCTTAGCAGTACCAAATTGCATTATTTTTCTTTCTTTATAAAATTTTATCAGCTATTGGAGCTGAAGCAAGTTTGAAGGTATTGGATGAATTTCTTGTATTTTTGTGTGTTACATCAACTCAAAACACTTACACTGTAATCATTATTGTATAACTAAACATTTAAAGAAAAATAAATCATGCTGGAAATTAATATGCATATCAGAATATTGCTAATATTACATGCATTATCAAGTAAGTTACAGAGGATTGGAAAGCGTGTTACTTTAAGATTGACGGAAGCAGTAGTGACAGTTGATGACTCTCATTCTAAGATGATCTATGCAAAATTAACTCTGGGAATAAGAGAGACTAGACAAAGGAGAGGAGGGTATTTTTTATATTCATTAATTGATTTTTTCTTATTCACTGCTGATGTGGCATGCTTTTATGAATAAATATTTATTTACGACTAAAAAAAAATAATAGGTAACCACATCATCTAAGTTGATGCAGGTTGATTTTATTACTTCATGCTGTTAGCACTAGGATTACTTAATATTGTAAAATTTTGCAAGAGATAAAATAAGTTTCTGCTAGCTGTGGTTGCTAGATTGTTTTGTTGCAAGCACTCACTACTGCGCTTGGCATGCACATGTTTTGGAATTGCTCTGTTCCTTTAGCATAGAATAAAGATGAAATACAGGTTATTTTGAAAGCCATTTTGAAGCAGATTTTTTTCATTTTTGACAATCAAACATTCCAAAAGCCTACACACTGAACATTAATCTTCATGTTCATACTTCTAAGGAAAAGAATGCTTGCACCATTCTTTTTTCTAAGAGGTGCTTAATATTCAGAATAAAGTAAACATTTGCTATTATTTATTCTATGCATAATGAGCAAACTAAGTAAATAGGAAAAACTACAATAGTTTTGTTTTTCTTTTCCTTTTTTAATTCATCTACAAAACAACCATATTTTTATATGTACAGAAAAGCTAAATATGCTGCATTTGAGATTATTTATAATAATTGTAGCAGTGACTTATTATAATCATATATAGAAAATGCTAGTTTCTCTTGAATTTTTAAGCAGTTTATTTCTGGTAATATTCATGAAATAATGCTATATACAAAGGAATTTGGAGCTTTACCACATCTTTACATCCAGTGTCACTGTGTCAAGTCATGTTCTGATGACTGTGCATCTTGACAATAGACTTACAACATAGTTCTCATTGCAGAAAGCACTGTCATAAAGCTGTTATGTTCAAAGCACACCACTTATCTTTGTGAGCTTTCCATAATCCATTTAGTGTACAAGGATGGTAGTTTCTTAGCAACTGTTTCAACAGTCTAATGACACCAAAATCCATAGGCGCTGTGTCCAGCAACTTGATTGTTATGTCTTTTTATGGAATGGTATGAATACATGTTTCATTCTCCAGCCGCTTGTGGTATGTGTCAGTTGAATAAGATATAACTGGAAGCCTTATCTTAGTGAACTTTTATCCTGTTGGTCTGATTTCCACGTGGAAAACCGTCTTGATTATGTTGCCTGGGGCATGTGGAAAGCTTTTACCACTGCCCTTTGTGTTCGTGGATTTTCATCAGTTACAATACATCACTCTTTACTTACTATGACTTGTTGCAGGTGACTTTCTGGATAGTTCTGGAGTTCTAAGTTGATTCATATTATTTTATTTTCAAATTACATTAAGTACAAGGGTTATCCCCATCTTGGAGAATCTTAATCCATAATCAGAACACATCTATATGATTTGAATGCATGAATATTTTGTGTTGGACAGGGCTGCTAGCCTTTCATAAAGCAACTAATTTTTGGTGGCATCGCATACCTATGAAAAGCCAAATAATATCAAAATGTTATTCTGGTACATGCTGTTCCACCATGACTTTATATTAGCTGTGGCTGATGTGTTAACTTACATTATCAAAATGATTTTAATATAACATACTCAACCCTCTGTATATTTTTTGTCCCATTGAAAATGTGACTTAAGTTATTTTTGTTTATCTTCCATCAAAAATTGGAAGTATTTAACCACTAAAGACAAATAGCATCCCACCTTTGAACAGACAATTGAGACTAGAGTACAAACTGTAGTAACAACATTTCGTAGGAAGAGAGGAATCTGCAGAATAGGATCCACACCATGATGGAATGCACAATCTATTGAATTTGATATTTATTCATAAGCTATTCATGTGAAAGTTGCACTAAAATATTAAGAGCTCATAAGGGTGTCCAAGTCTTTCCTGTGTAAAACTACTTTTCAAGATCTATAGCCAGTTGTGGAAAAGAAGTTGCTTTAAAAGTGAAAATAAGCTAATAAGGGAAAAAATAATGGATTGAAAACAAGTTCTAAAAATATAGTGTAGGAGTGATAACTTAAATGTATCCCTTAAAGTTAGCATTTCAGTTCCAGTAATGGTAAAGTATCTGTATAAACAGCATAATGAAACAGATATCTAGATGAATATAAAAGAAAACAACTTCGAATTTATCCTCCAAATTTAATTATAGTATTAGATCACCCAACCCTCCTTTCAGACCAGTATGCTGTTAAAAGTGGTGCTCAGTAAATGCAGTAAAAATTTTTATCTGTAACAGCTTTTGACAGTTTTTTATAAAGTTTTTCTGATACTAGTCAACTTGTAGTCTATTAGAAATTTGTGAAAGAAACTATATCTGAACTGTGGCTGAGTGTAACAACACAAATCTCCTATTAGTTTCAGCACCTTCTGCCTTTTCTTTCTAGTATACCTCTAACTCTTTCAGTGAGCAAAGCTCAACAGATTTGAACATAATGTTTAAAATTATAAGAAATCTGCTTGGTGTTTTAAAACAAAATTAATGTAAAAGTAATATTTTTCAAAATTCTACAGCATGGATTTGCAGTTACACTGTAGTGACAAATTAATGGATATGAAAGAGACATATTTAGAGTTATTCTTACCTGAAAATTAAATATATTTAATGAGACTTAAACAAATAATGTAAATTTTTCTTGCAATTTTGAACTAGTAATAACTTTACTAAAACAAAAAAGTAATACTAAGGAAAGGCTCTAAAAATTTTTATTTGTAGCTAGGCTATCCAACATTGTCAAAATATGTTAGCTTAGATCTTACCTTTTACAAGTAAATTTTCCAAAGCTACATGTGGTGCCTAACTGTAGTTAGATTATTTCTATCCTTTTTCTATCAATATGAATCTAAATGGCTAAGAGGAATAAGTTCTGTTTTGATACTGACCTGTTAATCTGATTTCATATGGGGCCCAAAAGATGTATGAAATACAGAGTGAACCTAATTTTAATTCTGAATATAATCTTATTTTCGACTTGTGATTTGTCATAGTTGGCATCATTTTTAGTAGCCTGCTATTCAGAAGTTGTTTTCCTTACACCAACTTTATGACATTTTCTGTCTCTGCTTAAAATTAATAGCATGGTGCAAATGGGATTAATTCTCTAGCTGCAGGCAAGTCAAAGTGCACATGTCATGACTTTTCAGAGAATTACATTCAAAATTTAATTAAATTACTTTATTATCATGGTATATGAATAAACTTGGCATAAAAATGTTGTTAACAAATCAAATTTATATAAGTTTAACATTCTTAATTTTATAAGGTAATATTTAAAAAAATCCTCAATCTCACCCTAGTATGAGAATTGTTACATTTATTCTCTAAATATCCCCTCTTCTCTAATTTATTTACCACCCCTCCGAGAACTCCAGAATTTGACATAAATCATTCATTATAATTTTGTTATCACTCAGGCAAAGTATAATTTTTATAGTCTTCGATCATATTTGGTTACAGTGCCATAAAATAGAAAATCAGATCTGTCACATCAGAAATTGTCAATAGTTTTCTCTGATGTTTAATACTATATTATTTATAACCAATAGAAAGCCAAGATTTTAGTCTATAAAGTGATGTATTATATTACTTTGTTTTCTGCACAGAAAATTATCTGTTTTGCTTCCAGTTCAAACTTTATTCCCACTGGAAATACATCAATGAGCTTAATTGAATTTTAAAGGCTCTTACTGCATAGTTTGAAAGCCAGAACAATTATGATAGTTATTGGATATTGTGTTATCCTATGTTTTTAGGTGCATTATTTAATTAAATAAAAAATTATTTAGTGTAGTAGTATCATTAATATAAAAAAGTAGAGTTACGTTTCATCGACAGTCAACAGCATAAAAAAAATCCAGGTAAGTATTATATTTCTTGTTTTTCAAGTGTATTCTTTATCTATTATTATAAATGTTACTTACATTTTAAAATTAGAAATTTATTACATTAGATTAGGTAAGATAAAGAAAACTGATAATAATAATGAAATTTTTCATGATGTACTTGTGAGCATCTCGCAAGTAGCCTGTGCATTATGTAATTAAATAGGGCAATGTGACCTACATGTTTGCTAAGTGATTTACAACTTTTGTGGCAGCATTATTAGTGTGACATGGTTCAAAGGGCAATAAAACAATAAGATTTAAGCTATTGAGGATAAACAAATGTAGTTTCATGTTATAATTTGAAGTCATTCTAGAAAGAAAAAAAGTCTAATTTAGATTTATTTCGTGTTTTTTTATGGCAGTTATGAGGTCGGTCAAGTTGACCAACCTTGTATAAAGTTAAGATAGAGAAAATAACAGATATAATATAAAGTTTTACTGAAAAAACTTATGAAATTTATTGAGGAGGTTTTAGGGATTATGCAAATGAAATTTGACAGTTTTCAGATGAAAATCACATTGCACATGGAGCATTCAACATTTTGACTCCATATATTCATGGAGAAATATTTAGTGAAAATACTTCATTAAAAATTATGTACGTGTTTCTTTTTTGTTTTGTTTTTTGTCTACAAAAGATTCTTAATGTTTACTGAAAGCTTGCAAGATTTCATAAAGATACACAGAACACAAAACTATAAAGGTCAATTTGGGGTCACGAACATGGCTTATTTGACTGATTCTGTAGTTGAAGAGTTAATGTGACTAGCAAGTTTCTGCAAAGGATTAACTTCATTGTATTTCTGCATCAAATAATTTCCTTCATCTTCCTCAGAGAAATGGAACAAGGAAAAGTCTGTTTTTGAACAGAGTCTTGCACAAGAAACGAAAGAAAAGGAATCCCTTGAGGTCAACTATTCATCCCTGAAAGAAGAACACCAACAGATGTTAGATAAAATTGAACATCTCCAATCTACTTGCAGTCAGGTTAGAAGTACTGATAATCCTAGAAAAAAATTGGTAATGTGATTATTTTAGATTATTTTTTGTTTTAAATATCTACTTTAAAGTTCTTATAGTTCTAAAAGATGAAATATGTATTGGCATAAATCTGTTATGTGAGAAAACGTTTTTCTTTGCTGAAATACATCACCTGAAAGCTTGTAATTCACAACTTTGTTAATGCTTTATAAGTAAAACTCAATTTTTACCATATATTTAAATCTTAGAGTTTGTTTTCGTATTCTATTAAGAATGATAAAATTGTTTGTATTTGTTGCAGCTTCAGGAACAGACATACCAGGAAAAGGAGTTGAGAAGGATTCTTGAACTAAAAGTACAAGAACTACAAAAGATAACAGAGGACAAACAGCTTCAGATGGTTTGTCATTACTCCTCTATTTCCTGTTGATTGGGACTAGTTTTTTATATTAAATCTGACTTATGTATAGATACATTTATTTCATAGTATTAAACTTTAAAAGTAAAAGTTATGATAAAAAGAATTAAATGGTTATTCAGAAATACACATTGACATAGTAAGAGCTCTTTCAGCTATTTATATACCTTTGGGAATATTAATAGGTCCTGAATGAGTACACAGCATGTAATAAATTGTTTTTCATACATATCAGGACTACTTGCACAGTGATAATTGAATAATAAAGCACTGATATATAATACATTTTTTTCTTTGGTTTTAATTATTTTTTTATATTCATTTCTAGAAGAGAGCAACTGAATTGTTGCAGGAAAAGGACTCTAAGCTTGAACAACTTGAATCTGTATTGGAACACTTAAAAGAAGACAAAGTTTCTTTAGAAATGAAAATAATAGAGCTTGAAGAACAGAAGGAAGGTGGGTAGATGTCCTTTAATATTCTTTTCAATATTTCTTTTTGACCTTAATAGATCTAACTTTTAAGTAACTTATTAATTGACATGTTCTAAACGTCCTATTAGAATCTTTTGTTTACCCTTACAACAGCTTTGGCCAATCAATATCTCAGAAACTCACAAATTACTGCTCAGACAACATTATTTATTCTGTATTGATTTAGATAGGTTATACTTTTCTTTATCCAATAGTATCTATGCCATTGGCTCTAGCTGTTATTAAAGGTGAGCTTCGTTAATGCTGTGATATTATAAAAGGGTGGCAACAAACTAACAGAGAAGGAAATTAATATTGAAAACAAGACATGGATCATTATATTTTCAATAGGTGATAGTTTCTTAGCAATATAAACTTATACTTTGATATTTACAGAAAATTTCTCAAAAATCTCCCTTTTGTTTATAAGTAAGACTCCTTGGAGTTGCAGAAATGGAAGTTGGAATACTCTTTTGTAGTTCTTTGTGAATTACACTAAATATATGTGACAAAATATCAATTCCAAAATACATATAGGTTAAGAGTTGTTGAAGTACAGTTAGAGTCATCAGAGGTTCTGATTATTTCTGAATAAAATTCTTTGAATGATAAATACAGCAAAGTGTTGCAATTGCATGAAGAAATCCAGAACAAGTATAACCAGAAATGTACAGATTTGCAGAGATCTAAGCAATTATTGAAATGTGATAGAGTTAAAATAATTTTTATACCTAAATAAAGATATAAAATTTTATGAAATATGAGAGATTTCACAGTAATACTGTAAAATATTAAATGTGTTTGAACTTAAAACAGCCATGATTTACATGATATTATTTTTTATAAGTTTTTTAAGATACTTTTGTACTAATTTTTGTAGGTGATGAACAGATAATACAGGAACTCCAAGGAAAAGTTGAAAACCTCTTTGAACAGATAGAAAATGAAAAGCAACCTGTTTTAGATATTGAAAAGGAGCGAGACACATTGCAAGTGAAACTTAATGAGTTACAAAAAGCTGGAGTTATAGATAAGAACAAAATTGAAGAGTTAGAAAATAACTTAGAAGTCACAAAAGAAAAACTAAAGGAGTTACAGAATCATTATGAGCTCGTCCAAGAAGAAAATATTTGTGCAAGAGAAGAATCTGGTGCAAACCTAAAAAAACTTAATGTTATAGAACAACAGCTTTTAGAAACTGTAAACCAACTGCAGGAAACACAGCAAGCATTGAAGGAAAAGGAAGATTCTTTTGCAAATATAAAACAAGCATTTGAGGAAACATCAAACCATGTATCAGATTTTCTATCCAAGCACACGTGTCAGAGTTTTGATGAAGTTAATAGGAAATGGTGTGAAATTCAAGAAAAAACAGAATACATGGAAAAGGAAATGGATTTTTTGAGAACGGAAAAGTCTAATTTTGAAAATACAACATTAAATGTATTAACACAGCTCACAGAATCAGAAGAATCCTTTCAGAAAGAAAGAGAGCAACTTCAGATAGCCTTGAATGAAAAAAGTTCTGAAAGTAATCAACTTCATGCACGAGTATCAGAAAAAGAAGACACCATTAGAAAACTGACAGAAGCACTAGATGGTAAAGAAATGCAGTGCCAATATATGGTTACCCAAAAGGAAGAGCAAGAACGTAGAAGTTTACAGTTAACATCTGAACTTGAAAATAAAAATGACCACATAGAAAGTTTACTCAGAGAGTTGAATAGCAAAAATGTAAGTATTGAGTCTGCTAAATCTGAAATTCATACAGAACATCAGCGTAATGAAGATCTGAACCTGCAACTTAACCAAGTGAAAAGAGAACTTGAAATACTGGAAGAAACTCATTCGTCCAAAGACAAAAAAATTGACTCCAAAGTTGCATCCCTTCTGGAACAGATACATGATTTAGAACTGGAACTATCAAGTGCTCAAAACACAGTTGAACAAAAAGAAAGAAATATGGAAATGTACCAGATGCAATTAGAGGAAATAAAACACGAAAGAGAAATTGAAATTAGAGATTATAAAATGAAAATTGAAAGTTTGGATGAAAAATTAAATGCTGTAGAGAATAAATTTTCTTTTGCTGTCGATACAATAAAGTCTAAGGATGATGAACTGAATAAACTTGTGGAAGATTTTAAATATAAAAACCTTAATCAACTGCAGGAGTATGATCAAAAAATTCAGAAATACCAAGAAGAAAATATACAACTGAAAACTGAGAAGCAATATTTAACTGAGCAACTTCAAATAAGAAATGATAAGTTTATAGAACAACAACAGCTTGTTGAAGAGACCCAAAACCATGTAGAAGAACTCAGTTCTTTGAAATCACAACTTGCCTCATCAAATGAAACACTTGAGAAACTTCAAAATGATATTCAAGTAAAGAATATGGAAATTGTCTCTATAAATGAAGGTAGTGAAAAAGCTTTGAATTCTTTAAAACAGCAGCTAGAGTTAAGCTCCAAAGAAAACAACTCGCTTGCTGCAGAACTTCATACACTTCACTCTTCATTAGCTCAACATCAAGATCAGCTTAGTGGTCTTCAAAACTATATTGCTCAGCTTGAATCAACAAAAGATTCTAGTATTTCTGAGTTAAATTCTTTGAACGATAAGTACAGCAAAGTGTTGCAATCATATGAAGAAATCCAGGAGAAGTATAACCAGAAATGTTCAGACTTGCATAGAACTGACCAGTTACTGAAAGAAGCCACACAGCACCTGGACTTAATGACCCAATACAAAAACGAATCTGATATTAGTTTACAAACAAAGAACAATGAAATTACTTGTTTAAAAGAAAATATCCAAACACTAGAAACAATGGTTGAAGATTTAAAGACAAATTTGGCTTCCAAAGAAGAAGAATGTGTGAAATTATCATATGAAAAAGAAGAGGCTTGTAAACAATTGGAAAGTCAACAGCAAAACAAAGAAGTTTGGGAGAAGGGTGAGCAGAAGAAAAATGACCATATAAATGAACTTCAGAAGACTTTTGAAAATAGTGAACGAGACAATGCAGAGTTAAAATCAAAAGTACAAAACTTATTTCAGGAAGTTCAAACTGAAAGGAAAAAAGCACAGTTAGCTTTAGAACTGGAAGATACATATAAAAAGCATATTGAACAGTTGACCAGTGAAGTAGAATTACTTCAACAGAGTTTACAGAAGTCATCAGAAGAGATCTTACAAGCAGAATCATCTGTGGAACAAACTATGACTTTGAAAGATCAAATTATTCAAGAATGTCAATCAAAACTTGAAGCAGTATATGAAGAACTACAGAAAGAAAAACTATCTACAGAAGCTTTACGAAATCAGTTGATTGACTCTGATTCAAGTCATCTAGCACAAATTGAATGTTTGAAAGCTGAAATTAAGAGTTTAAATAATGAACTTCAAGAAGCCTACTCAAAGTCGCAAGGTACAGAGAGGGAATTACTTGAAAGTCGACAGTCTAGAGAATCCATCAAAGAACAACTGAAAGATTTACTAGGTAGACATGAAATTCTAATGAAAGATAATGAAAGAGATTTACAAGAGTCTAACAAGTTAAATAATTTTCTTCAGGAGGAAGTTGAAAGTCTTAAATCAGATCTGTTATCTACCAAAGAAAAACTTAATTCAGAAATTCAGAAAATTGAAAGTAAATCATCACTGTTGAAGGATAAAAATTGTGAACTAAACATTAAAGTGGAAAAGTTTCAACAGGAAAATGATGTACTGAGTCGTAACCAAGAAGAGTTCCAGAAAATCTTAAAAAATTATGAAGAACAGATTTCTGAGCTAAAAAGTAAAGATGAGGCGAACTGCAAACTTATTAGTGATCTAGAGAAACAAGTGAAAGAAACAAATCACTATATTACTAATACTAAAAACCAGATTGAAAGGCTTCAGTTCTTTGAATCCGAATATCATGGCTTGGTTGGAAAATCTAATGAAATGGAAGAATCCTATAAAGAGCAAGTTCAAAAGCTAGAAGATACTAATAGAAAAGTTACTGATTACATTCAGCAGTTAGAGGAAGATATTAAATCATTGGCTGAAAAACTTGATATAATAGAATGTGAAAAAGCAGAGCTCTTAACTTCTTTAGAAAAAGAAGTTATTGAAAAAGAATCATTCCAAAAACTTGCTGAAGATGCTGAACATAAAATAGAAATTTTACAGATCTCTATTAAGGAACTTGAAGGTGAAAAGATTGAGTCATTGAAGAGGTCAAAAGAGTTTGTAAATAAAAAAGCAAGTTTGGAAGATAAGATTACAGAATTGGATAAAGCTTTAGAAAAATCAGAGTTAAACTTGACCACAGTGCAAAAACAATGTGAAGAAGCTCATAAAAGATTAGTAGATAGTCAAAATGAAAATGCAGGGTTAAATTCCAGTTTGATAGAATCCCAGCAACTAAATAAAACCTTTAATCATGATAAGTATGAACTAGAATTGTACATTCAGAGGATTCAAGCTGAAAAACAGCAACTTTTTGAACAAAATCAGAAATTAGAGGATGATCTTAATAAATCTCAACATGCCAACAAAATACAAAAGGATGAATTAAACAGTCTTAGGATAAAATATGAAGAAATTGAACTTAACTTACAACAAGCAAATGAACACGTGCATGTTTTGCAGTCTGGTGCTGCTGAGCATACACAAAAGTTGTCATTGGAATTAGAATCTTGTCATTCTCAGATTCAAGCATTGCAGACTAAATTTCTTAACAAACAACAAGAGCTGGATGATGCTCATCAGTCTACACAAAAAAAAGATGAGGAAATGAAATACCTAAAACAGGAAATATTTGGTCTTCAAAATGACTTGAAAGATGCAAAGCAAAAGTTGGAGTTCAAAGAAAAAGATTTTCAGACTCTTCAACAAAACAACATTGATAAGGACATTGAGATTTCTAGTTTAGTTGAACAGTTGAGTGCTTTGAATACAGATCATAATTCACAATCCGTGGAGGCAAGTTCATTGTTAACAAAGTTCAAAGAAAAGGAAGAACAATATAATGAACTTTTTGTAGATTTTCAGGAAAATCTGAAGAAAATAGAAAACAAAGAAGAACAAATAACTATACTTCAGACAAAGATGGAAAAGCTAGAGTCAGAGCTTCAAAGTATTAAGAGTACTTTCGAGGAATGTGAAAAATCAAATAAAGAATTAAAAAAGTTCATTGAGAACAAAGAAGAAGACATGAAAGATCTTGAGAAAGAGTTGTCAATCCAAGCAGAGAAAACTAATCAACAAGAATGTCATGCACAAAACCTTGAAACTGAGGTACAACAGCTTCAAGCTGAATTTCAAAAAGGAAAAGAACTGACAAAGAAACAGCAATTACAGATAGCTTCTTTAGAAACTGAAATTTCGCAGTTCAAGCAAATTTCTGATACATTGAACACTGAAAAACAGAAACTGAAGCATGAACTGAATGTACTCTTAGATAATGAGTTTAAGTCATTACAGGCTGAAGTTAATGAAAAAACTTTAAAGGAATGCCAAATGACTGAAGAAATAGAGAACCTTAGAGTCACATTGAAGGAAGTTGAGTCCATTAGAAAAGAACGAGATCATTTATCTTTAGAACTCCAAGAAATGAACAATACACTTCAAGAAAAGAATAATCACCTGCAACACTTAGAAGGAGAAGTAAGCAAGCTTATTACATCAAATCATGAATTAAACAGAAAGAGAGAAGATTCACAAATATTATTAAAAGATTATGAATCATTAAAACTTCAGATAGAGAATATCTTATCAGAAAAAGCTTCTCTGCAGTCTACACTAGATGAAATGAATGGTGAAAAACAGCACTATCAGGAGCTCCCAGATAAGTTGGAAAAATTACAGGGGGAAGTAACATCTCTTCATCAGGCACTAGAAGTAAAAGAATCTTTCTTAGAGGATGCAAGAAAAGAGATTTGTAAACTGGAAGCAAAAAGTAACAGTTTGCTCCAAGAAAAACAGATTTTTGTAAATGATAAAATGAATCTAGAGATGAAAATCAAAGAAAGTGAGAAAGTTATTAAAACATTAACTTCAAATTTAGGTTTAGAAAAAACAAAGAAAGAAGAAATTTTGACTTATGCTAAAAAAAATGAAGAAATTATTAAACAATTAGAAAATCAGCTGAAAGAAGTTGAGACAGATTTTGAAAGTTTTAGATCTTCAGTGGAGAAAGAGAGAAGTGTTTTGAAAGAAAAAAAAGAGAATCATTCTCTCACTGAACAAAGTGCAGTAAGTTTGTCTAAACTACATATCTTACAAGAAATCCAAGAGGAAACAAATTTGAAAGTTGAAGAAGAAACGAGGCAGGAATCTAGCAACTCTGATATAAATATATTAAAGCAAGAAAATGAACATTTGAAACACGAGTTAGAGTCATTCAAAATTAAAACTGGAAAAGCATTGGCTAAGCTTAAACAATTTAAAATGAAAAATGAAAAACTCGAGAATCAATTAAAGGGTTTATCATCTAAGACTATGGTAGATGAAACTCAAATAAAAGCAGAACAACAAATCAGTGAAGAATATCTGAAAGGAAAAGAGCATGTTATAAATAAACTCAAGGAAGAAGTGGCTACAAATTTAGAAGATTATAGGAACTCTCTCCAGCAAATTAAAGAAGAGAGAGATCTTCTTCAAGACACAAACAATTACTTGAAAGAACAATCAAAGAACTTGAATGATGATATTAAAGCACTTGAAAAGAAACTTACAAACTCATCGACAGAAACAAGAAGTTTAAAGCACATAATAGAAGAATTAGAAAAAGAAAAAGAATTATTTGAAAGTAAGTGCAATAGTTTAGAGAAGAAGTGCTTAGAATTTAGTAGTGATTGTGAAGAAGCAAAAGCTCAGTATGAAAGTTATAAACGAGAACTGATTAATCTGAAAGAACATGAACAAATGCTCTCTTCAGATAATGAGTCTTATCAGCAGATTGTTGAGGAATTAAAAACATCTAAACAAGTATTGGAGCAGGAATTAAGGAGAGTTAAAGAAACACATTCCAAAAATATCAGAGAATTTGAAGAAAGAAATGTGCAAGAAACACTCAAGTTGAAGAACTTGGAAGATAATCTTCAAGAACAAGAGGACGAATACCAGAAGTTGTATTCAGATTATGTTGAACTCAGTAAAAACTGTGATCAGCTTGTGATGGAAAAAAATAATTTGAAAGAAAAACTACAGAATGCTCAAAAAGAAAAAGATGATGCAATTCATTTGAAAAAATATGTAGAAGAAACTCTGTCCAAAACACAAACTGAACTTGAATCCTTGAAAACAGTTCATACTAGTCTTAACTGGGGACTTTCAGATACTGAATACACTGATACTCTTCAAATTGAGGCAGATAAACTTCAGAAAGAGAAGGAAACCTTAAAGCAGCATCTTCAGAAATATCAGATGGATTCTTTTCAGCAGTCTGAGAAATTCGCAGATTTTCATGGTCCTGAATCAGTGTCTTCAGATGATTTTGAAAAGTTATGCAGAAAAAATGAAGAGTTCAGTAATGAAATCTGCTCTCTCAAGAAAGAACGAGAACAATTATTAGTTGAGTTAAATAATGTGAAGGAGCAGCTCAACACCACTGAGTGGAAAAATGCTGCAGACATAAAGAAACTAGCATCTGAAAATCTGCACTTCAAGCAAGTAGTTGAAGGACTTACTTCAGAGAATGAAACCTTGCAACAAAAACACTATTATTGTCAAACTAAGTGTCAACAACAGATCAGAGAATGGGAAGTTAGCTATGAATCACTTGAAAAACAATTTAGAACTCTCAGAGAAGAACTTGAGTCTTTAAGAAATGATAATAAAGCCCTATATAATGAAAAGACTCATCACGAGGCATTATGTAATCAACTTCAAGGAGAAAATGATGTTTTCCATCATAAAGTGGAAGAACTGAAGCAATATCTAGCTGATAAAGACTCTCAGCAACAAGCTGGGTCAGTTTCACAAAGTCATTCTTCTAACAGTAGGCAGTTAGAAGAAAATGAGGAGCAGCTAAAATGGGAATTTCAACAGGCGATGCAAAGTCTACATCAACAGGGATTAAAAACTGAAAAGCTCAGTTTGGAAGTTAGTAAAGTAAGTGATGGAGTGAAATTATTTGTATATAATTTGTTTTAAGATATTGTTCATGATTTTTAGTCTTTTTATTTTTTTGCAGCATACCAATAAAAATGTTTATTAAAGTTTTGAATTTCTGTCAGAAGTGAATATTTTATTTATAATAATCAGTGTAAAGTTTTAAGAAAATAGATTTATTGTTTATTTTGATTAAATAAATAGAAGTTTTTAAAAACCAGCTGCTCACTTTATATATTTTACCTGCTAGTCTTTTGGGAATCTCAAGTAGGAGAAGAACTAACATTTTCCAAAATACGTACATTAATTATTTTACTCCAGTCATGACTTTATAAACTTCAGAATCTTCTATTTTTTGAGGAAATGTACAGAATCAAGCTTTGCTTTTGTGTGGTTTTAATATCCTTCTAAAAGCAGTGATACTGAGGACATTAACTATTGAGAATTTTAGTTTTTTGTTACTGTTACTTGCCACTTGTGTGTAATTTCTTTTATTAGTTGTTAGAGGAGAGGAATGGCTTACAGCACCAATTAGCACAAACTCAGAAAGTTCTTCAAGAAAAAGAAAAGGAACTAATAAACCTTCGAGAGATCAGTTTGTCAAGAAAACTCCAAGTACACAAATCAGATCAAATGAAAGAACCAAAAGTCACTGGAGTGGACTTTACATCAATTCAAGTAAGGAAAAAAATACACTTACTTTTTAAGACTGAGAAATTTGTAGAACTTTTTTGTAAATTGAATCCTAAACATGAGTTATGTTTCTAGGAAATAAACTTTTTTTTCGTAATTGGATGTTACTTATTTTTTTGTTTTATAGATGAATTACAGTCAAAGATTTGCTATGTGTTTTCACATTTATTATGGAAAATTTATACATTTTTTTAATATATATATTTTAAAATATAAGCTTCTAAACTTTAGTTTCTTTTTATTTGTGCTTATTTAATTATGGTTAATACCAATATAACTTTCTCAGTTTAAAAGATGTTCAATCCATGTCTGCATTCCTCAAAAGTACCTCCCATATGTATTGTGTGGGTGTGTATTTTAGCCATAAGTATACAGAAAGATACCATAAATTTCAAGGGTTATTAATTATTAATTTGAAAAAAAATATACATCAACTTTTTTTAATTGTAATTAATGTTTCTTGGCTAGCAGTAGATGAGAACATGTACATTCTCCTTTAGAAATGAGTATTTGATATTAGTTATATATTTTAACAGCTTACATGTATTAGTAGGTAAATTATTAATTGTTCAGAGTGTCAAAAGATGTTTAAATCTGTTTCTTCTTAAAAGTGAGACAAGTGCTTGTACTTGAGCTTTTAAATTCTTATTTTTCATAACTTTACCAAATATCTGTTATGCCAAGGAGCCACAACATCATTATTATTTCTTATTTATGTTTCAACTTTATAGTCCTCATAAGAATTTATAATATTTAAGTTTACTCATGAACTTAATATCATTTTAGACAATTTCTTTTATTTAATCTTGTTTATTTTGCAGGTTGATACTTTTTATTCTCATGTCGAGGAAACCTCAAAGCCACCAGTTGAACCTGGTTATGTAGTGCCTGAGTCCCATGACACAAAGATTGTTCTTCTCCAACAAAGGTAATTTGTATTTTCTATATTTAGTGGTATAAAGAAAGATTCTTTAATTTCATGATCGTCATTACCATAGATCGAACTTTTGTTCTCGTTTTTCTAAACTAATTTTATATTGTAATGATATCCAATTAGCTGTCTTAACTGTATCATTTTATCAATGTAGAAAGACTGTTTATTTACTACAGTGATATAGAACTCCTAAATTGCTTAACCCTTTTGCATCAGGTAAGTCAAAATGTGCATGTCAAAACCTTTTATAGAATTACGTTCAAAATTTATTAAAACTACTTTATTATCAATGTACACAAATAAAATTGGCATTTAAACATAGTTAATAAATAAAATTTGAATATTATATAAGTTTCAAGTTTTTAATTGTATAAGGAAATATTTTTAAAAATCCTCAATCTCCCCTACTATGAAAATTGTGACACTTGCTCTCTATGTCTTCCTTACTCTTTAATTTATGTACCACCCTTCTGAGAAATACAGAATTTAACATAAATTACATATTTTTATATAGATATTACTCATGCAAAACAAAATGTTATGGTATTCAATTATATTTGTTTACAAAACCATAAACTAGAAAATCAGACTCGATTGCTACACCCACCTGTCCGTCCTCTATTTCACAAATTGTCAATAGTTCTCTCTGATCTTTTATACTATATTATATATAACCAATAGAAAGCTAAAGTTTTAATCTATCAAATGACATATTACATTGTTTTGGATACGATATCTTACCTCCTCTCACAAAATAGCTTTTCTAGACAAGCACTGCCCTCTATCGGCATAAATTTTCAATGTACGCCACTAGCCTTCCACCTCCCACTTCTGCACAGCCACATGCAAATGATCATGGAGCAGTTCTCCACCAATAGCAACATCACACCACTCCTATCGTAACCAGTGCCCTCTTTACATATGCACTTGTTAATCACCTCTTGATTAGCAGTAGCACTGTACAGACTTGCTGATTTTTGCTCGCAGATTTATCGACATTTTCTGTTATACTACTGACTTAGTTTTTCTTTACTATTTGTTTAAATTTTCATATTTTGGTATTGTGAAAGGTTGCTTTTTTTGTTCTTATTTTCCACTTTTCATGAGCTGTTTTTTTGATTGTATTGTGGACCCCACTCTGTGGCAAGAAGTCTGACCAGGTATACTTTTTTTTTTTTTGAAAATCCACACTGTCCATCCTGTGACCATGCTCAACCTCAATTACGTTGAAGCTCTTCCTCCACGGACCTGATGTATAATTCCAGATGCCACTGGTGTTTGTTGTGTGTTTCCTTTCTATTGTCATCTATGCCTAAACAATTATGTCGGTGGTTTGGGTTATGCACACGTAGAGATGGAGTATTCTGTAGGACTGCTAGTAGTTTTCTCTAGTGTTTTTTTCTTCATAAGTATGTTTGTCCTGGACCATACATGAGTAAAGCAGACAGAGATTGCTGCCCATCTCTGATGGTTTGTGACGGCATTGAGACTCTTCCTACCATGGACCTGATGTACAATTGTAGATGTTGCCAGGTTTTAGTTGAACAATTCTGTCAATGTGATAGCTCTGCTTTTCAAAATAGGGTATTGCAGTCACCCATTGAATTATGATGCGGTCTTCTGGACTCTCCAACACGTTATTCCGTCCTTTCTTCTGGTGGAGTATGGGAGTCCTTACCACTCAGATGAGAGTAGGGCGTTGGCATTCTGCAGGTGTATAGTACTATAGTATAGTGGGTGTATAGCACTTTGTACCACAGATCTGATATACAATTCCAGATGTCACCAGGTTTTGGTTGTTGCACTACGTTGTATTCTGTCTATATATCTGAGTGATTGTTTTTTCCTACTGTGGCATTCCTCCTTCCTACCATCCTCTGAATGTACATTCTGGTGGTCTGGTTTTGGTTGGAAATGGCCCAGTCACAATTTTTATCATGTGTAGATGGCAAGATGCCCTTCCTACCATGGACTTGATGCACAATTCCAGATGCCACCAGGTTTTGGATGAAGCACTTCACCATGTCATGAATATATACACCTGGAAAAAAGTTAAGCACCCCCAAATATTTTTCAGGATTGCTTATTGAAAATAAGGTTTAATTTTCATGATGTTGAGCAATGTTCATAATTTCAAACATAATTAAAAGGATGTGAGCGTTCAGGTGTGACATTTAAATCAGGTGCGTTTTTCAGGCGCCCTTCTTCACGTCCAATATGCACTATTTTCTCGTGCATCAAATCCGTATTTAAGTCCCG